TGACAGTGGGAGATTGATTAGATATAGTTATTCCGCAATATAACTGCACGTGCTCTGACTTTGTGTACCCCCTTGATCACCTGCCAAGGGCACAGGTAAGGTAGGAGTATATTGTTGTGACATTCATACAGGTATGACCACTGTAGTATCGCCAAACAATACCGTGTGCACTACCAAATTTAAACAAAGGAATATCGTGTTACGTCATTTGCATTCAACTTTGATTTTAGTATATTACTGTATGTATTATTCATACATGAATATTGAAGTAAATCATTATTCAGACCTGGATTATATTATTTGAATAAAAATGTTTAATTCGATATTGTCACAGAAGACGACTTCAAACTAGAATCTGACATTATGTTCTTATTCAATACTTCAAATGAAAAATCATTTATAAAGAAAAACTCAACACCGTTATTTGGTTATCAGCTTGCCCCGACAGCACAGAAAGCTTATTTTATTATAAATAAAAACACAAATGTCCAATGTGCTGTCATCGACCGCTGCCATCACATATAAACACAATCTACAATAGAAAAGTATTCTAAAGTTGAAGAACAAAATCTTTACAGTAATACATATCATATATCCTATTTACTACATAACATACTTGTACTTTCCTATGAAGTCTTGAAGGGTGGGTGGGTGGGAAACGATACTGTACTGTCGGATAGGCGAACCTCGAATGACAATTCTAGACTATAATACTATAATTTAGCGCTTAAATTCTAGCATGAAGTTATCATGATTAATATTACCTAAACCGGTAATAACTTACTGTTTGTCCAATCAAATTAAACATAAACATGTTTTGATTTGAACACACGTGCTTGAAATAAACAAATACACGTGTCCCCGAGTAACCTTAATAAATACATTTATGTTCTTATTCAATACTTCAAACGAACATAAATCATTTATAAAGGAAAACTCAACACCGTTATTTGGTTATCAGCTCGCACCGACAGCACAGAAAGCTTCGAATGATAAAGAAAGGGACAAATAGAAAATAGAAAAAAAATATATATAAATAAATAAATAAAAATAGAAAATAGTAATAAAATATTACAAGCCTAAATTTTTTCAGACTGACAATCTGTTTTGTATACTCTCTTTTTCATAGCCATCTTTGGCTTTATCACTTTTCCATCTCCCGTGTTTCTTAAACAACCGATCATCTATTCCAGCTTCTGCCGCGGCAGTAGCTCCTCTTGACCTCAAACTATGTAGGCCAAAATGTCAAGTGCAGATAACAATAACTCTCTGGCTCTAGTGTAGGAAATATGACTAGTCCTTCTAAGTTTGTATATGTTCAAAGATTTACAATAACAAATTGATCTAAAATGAATTCATTAGATTCTTCCGGAATGTTAGCTAACTTTAGATAACGCTGAAGTGCATCTACCGGGCATGTAACATTCCCTGTTTTTGAAATGACAACATCTCTCCCTTCCCTATATACATCAGTTTTACTCTTGACTAAATAAAGTGTAAGGTAAGTAGGAAAAAACTGTATATTATGTTGTAATTAGATCTTTGAATATAGTTTACATTGGCACTAATATCGATTTTGTCATCAGCAAATTAAAACATAACTAAATTTGTATTTTTTTCAAGTGGGATGTATAAAGACACACCCACGTTCGTTTAGATCTATAAAGAGGTTAAACTCCTAACTATCCTACTGTCTGTCGATACATTTATTTTTGGCATTGCACTAGTCATGTCTTCTTTGACTGTCCATGACGTTAAAATACTAAATCCCTGGGATGTGTTTTAGTTGATTTTAGTCTCTGATGCATGATTTTTTATTATTAATTGTTTTGGCTTTTAACTAGCTTTCAGTAACTGCGAGTACTCTCAAATCGTACTTTCTTGTTTATTTGACCTGTTGATACTAATTGTATTGCTTTTTTGTTATTTAATGTTATTCAGGGTTATATCTGGTCTATATACCAGCTTTGATAAGTGTTTGGTATAACTATAAATTTTCACTTCGTACTATGAACATCAAAATTATTTATTTTGTAAAAATATTTCCTTTCTCTATTGGTACTGTACACGTATACCTAACAACAAAATTATTTTCATTTACCTGTGTTTAAAGTTATTGCAAATGGCTGATATTTTTGTTCGAGCATATTGTTTTTCTTTAATTGTTTAACATTTCTTACCGATATAATATGTTACTTTTATTATTCTTCCCTTAGTTTATTTATTTTGTATTTACATTAATATTGTGTCATAGGTCAAATTTATTTGTTCAGTGTATGTTCAATGGTGTTAATATGTCCTTTGATTGAGTTAAGCTATTTCAGTTGATATTTTATAGTGTGTCTTTCTATGTTGTGATGTTACACTATTGTTTCAGAAAAAAGGTGAATGTTTGGTACCATTAAAACGTTTAAACCCGCTGCATTTGTTTGCACCTGTCCAAAGTCAGGAATCTGGTGTTCAGTAGTTGTCGTTTGTTGATGTGGTCCATAAGTGTTTCTCGTTTCTCGTTTTTTATATAGATTAGACCGTTGGTTTTCCCGTTTGAATGGTTTTACACTAGTAATTTTTTGGTGCCCTTTATAGCTTACTGTTCGGTGTGAGCCAAGGCTCCGTGTTGAAGACCGTACTGTGACCTATAATGGTTTACTTTTATAAATTTTGACTTGGATGGAGAGTTGTCTCATTGGCACTCATACCACATCTTCTTATATCTATTTTCCTCGTTTGTAAGGAAACCAGCATCAACCAAAGACCTTTTCACGAAGGACGACTGCTCATTACATGTATTTTCATCTGGACTCATGCCAAATCCATCATCTAATGATGTCGATGTGAAAATAACAAGATTTAAGGTCAAATTTAAACAGATACATATTTTTGTCAAAATATTGTATAGCTATCTTCCAATCCTCGAATTTTATTTTTTTCGCGCTTTATGTGTTTATTCAATTGACTCATATCTAAAATAAGCCGTTTCTTACCGGACTTTTGAGTAGCAACACTCAATGGATTTACCACATATGGTTGGAAAGGCACTTTTATTACGTAACCGATTTGAACTAAATCTTCAATTGACTTTGTGACAAATTCAGTATTCTGCCTTTCTGATCTATTATTTGTGTGATACATATTAAAAGGTGTATCTATAAATGGGATAACATAACTATTCTTGATTGTATCAAGCACAAAAGGACAAGCGCCTATATTTTCCCAATACTTTACATGACTAGCTAATCTATCGTTCACCCCTTTAAAATTGTCGTATGACTGACAATTTTCAAAATATTGAACTTGTTCTAGAAAAGATTCTATATGATCGTTATCATGAAAACATATTGAAAATTGGTCATTATCTTAATACTTATCATTCACGATGCCTGAAGAGTGAAGTGCAGGCTCTTCTTTACGACTTTTGGTAGGTTGTGGAGTTGCTGTTGGATGACCTGAAGCTGGCGAGAAGAGGACAGTTCTTTCTCTAGTGGCTATGCTGCTTGCAGTAGTGGCGCACGCCTTGCGAAGCTCCCACGAAAGGGCGGCTGTTAAGTACGTTGATAATGCTGAGCATAAGCAGGGTTAGCATAAGATTCTGCAGGTTGTTGACGAGGCGGATTCTTAGGGTAAGGTTGCTGGCGAGTTTTTGACTTCTTCTTAGAGGTACGGATAGCTCTGGTCTAAGCTTGGCGTATCTTTCTCTCATCTTCAGAATCTGAAGCCACGGCATTGGCTTCGTATTCCTTTACGGTTCCCCACCCAGCAGGGGAAGAATCAGCTATGCGAATTTTCTTATTACGGCCTGTTAGCTTATCTGTAAGATCAAGAACTAATCTATAGGCTTGCGTATTAGAGGAAGGGATGAATTTAGACAGTTTGTTTACAGTTTTTTATAATTCCTCGTTAAAAGTGTATTGGATTTTGTTACCTTCACCCTTGGACTTTAAAGTGACGTTTTCCTTAATCTTTCTCTTAAGGCTGTCTTGCTTTTGGATGAGTTCTGACTTCAACTCACCTAATTTGCTGTCTAAGATAGTCTTGAAAAGCTCTACGGTATCAACCAAATCAGACGACTTATCAGCTGCTGTAGGAATCTAAGGTTGCGGTATATCTCCTGCAAGTAGTAGGTCTTCGTTCAATTCTAGACGTGGAGACGATTCGGACATTTTACCAGTTGAAAATTTACGAAAACGATACTGTACTGTCGGATAGGCGAACCTCGAATGACAATTCTAGACTATAATACTATAATTTAGCGCTTAAATTCTAGCATGAAGTTATCATGATTAATATTACCTAAACCGGTAATAACGTACTGTTTGTCCAATCAAATTAAACATAACCATGTTTTGATTTGAACACACGTGCTTGAAATAAACAAATACAAGTGTCCCCGAGTAACCTTTATAAATACATAACGTGACGATATAACTTTCCAAATGCCAACTTCTCATTTCTCAGCAGTAACAGACCTTCTGTCTAGCGTTTGGCGTTTTTATATCTCAGTTTATATTTGACGTTTGTGCATGTTTGTACTTTATGGAGTTCATGAACAGAAGTGTGCTCTTCCCAACAGAAGTATGATGAAGAACAACACTACATGAGGTTTACGCTCACCGTTACGAATTCATTGACCGATACGATGTGTCGGTGTCTTAACTCACTAGCGACATGTTTTCGCGGTCTTGGATTTTTAGCTACCAGTATAGTCATCTGATCTGTCATTTTACCAAATGTGTCCTATTCCTGATTGTGACATTTTGACTGAGTGTGAATTCGAATGGCGGGTGACGCATGCACAGCATGAGACGCTTATCCTGTCGACGCACCCGTCCTCGCTCCTTTTTGTAGTTCATGCGATTCCCTCAGGTTTTGTTTGTTACCTTCAGTTGTCCCTTCCTAATCGATTTAAAATATTCGAAAGTCGGAAAACTATTCCCTCGTTAATTTAATTGTTTTAATCTTAAACAACTATCGGGTACTTTAATGTGAGGATTTTTCAATAGATGAATGAAACATTGAACACAGAAAGTCTGCTAGGTAAGAGGATTGAAATAGACGAGTTTGATGCAAATTTGGCGTATGATGTTGATGAACGCCCACCGTGGTTTGTTACAGTAACAACAGCATTCCAAGTGAGTTCGTGAAGTATGTAAGGTAGTCAGTAACAACAGCATTCTAAGTAAGTTTGTGAAATATGTCAGGTTTTAATATGTTTAACAATGCATAATTTGTAAGTGCATGATGATACAGCTTGAGTATTCTTTCCGTTGCGTAAACCAGAGGAATCCCTCAATAATGAGAATGATTGTTGTTTGATTAACGCCGAGTGGCAAATATTTCATGCATATTCAGGACGAGAAACTAATTACAATTAATACAATAGGCAACTTCTGCAAGGGAACGGCAAGGGTGAAGGGCTCTTAATTTGAACTGCCACTGGTAAAAAGAACAGAAATATTACCTGGTAAACATGTCACCTACTGATCCCTTTAAAAGTAGTTGCAAATGTTCTATAATGTGCAGATAGCAGATTTCATTCTTTCTACACGAGGCATCTGACCAGATGTGTCTGTGTGTTTATACAGCCCACGTTGCAAGGGTTATATTGTTGGTCAGAAGACCACGGTGATCACATTTCTATACACCAGTCATCCTTACCTTAAGGAATGACGTAAACTTTACAAAAATGTCCGTGTTTCATCTTCATGTACACTTTGCATAACACGTGATCATAATTCCTGTTTTGTTTCAAGTACGACTTGTACCATACACATTAGAGATGCATTTGTAAGGATAATTTCTATTGCAGCATACATTTCTATGCGTTGGAGCTGTATTAGCAATTGTCACAGTACTTTCTGATGTAGTATGTGCAGATTTGAACGACCCTGTACGGTCCATCTTATTTAGTTCTTCCATTCTGGTAATTGGACTTTCTACAGCTATCCAGTCTTACTTTGGTCTCAGGTAAAACCTTTTTTTTAACTGGTAAAACACGTTATTATTTCTCATGTATAAAAAAACAGAAAATATATCTGGAAATATTAGTCCCTTAAAAATAGAACAAGGACGACCACAAATGAATGTTTGTTATCTTTGTTATATCAACTAATTTATTCATGTATTGTTTTAAAAGTTCGAAAGATACGGGGAGATGTACCTTATAGTTTGAAGAGATATGAACAGATTCATTTAGCAATCGTAGAAGCTCATAAGCCATATTAAAACTGATAGTTTGATACAATGACTATAATGAATCATTGATTTAAATTAGGTAATTTTAAAAAAGCTGTACTATTGAGGAATTATGGTAAAGTTTGGCCCACACTTGAGTCTATTATTTATTTCGTCCTGCACAAGCATGAGATGTTTTACACTGTAAGTTAAGCACGAGTTAATCAATTATTTATTCGCTGAAATTTTAATAAAAAAAAGTGAAACGTCACTTAAACATGTTAAATGTTTGATAACGTACTACATAATGAACGATTTAGATCTCTTGGCAACATTTTATAATCTTTTAGTTGATTTAATCTATTTAAGAGTCATGATATATACTGAATACTGATTTAAATTTTTTGCAGGTTTTCGAATTTGTTTTTCTCTTATAAATAGCATCGAATGTGCGCTTGTTTAATCCAATATTTTCTACATAAGGAAATGCCTGTACAACGTTAGGATTTTGACAGTTGTTTTCCATCCGTTTCATGTGTTTGAGCTTTTGATTTTGCCATTTGTTAATGGACTTTCCGTTTTGAATTTTCCTTGGAGTTCGGTATTTTTGTTATTTTATTTTATGAAGTTGTCTGTTCTTACAGACAAAAAGAACCAGGTTATAGATGTATAATTGACCAACGTCCACACGAATCATATTTACCTCTGAATTAGATATCACAAATATATATATCGTGTATAATGGGATCAAATGCGAATGTTTGATATATACGCTTAAAAATTAAAGCTTTGGTAGTTTATCAATTTCATTTACAAATGTGTTATTAGCAACATTTTATAGAAACCGAGAAAAAAAATTTCAGACATAGAAAAAAATTGTGAAGGATATGAATTAAAATTTAATCTACACATTAGAGTGTATGTTGTAGACAGTTTATACAAAATGCGTATGTTTCTGTTTTCACCAAATATATTCATCGACAATAAATTATTTATCAAATTCAACAGGCATTTGCAAACGGTAGACATGGATTTAATGAAAGCCACCTACAGTATTTGGGAATTACAATTAGGAAATGTTAAGTAATCATTTTTTGGCTTTTATTGAATGATATGCGTAAACAAAAAAGTAAAACAAAAATACCATACTCCAAGGTAAATAAAAAAAAAGGGAAGTCCATAAAAACTGACAAAATCAAACGTTAGACTTAATCAACTAACGGAACGAATGGTAAACATTTGTCATATTCCTGACTTGGTATAGGCATTTTCCGAAGAAAATGGTGGGTTTAACCAAATTATATACATGCAGCTAGCTAAACCTCCCATCTTTGTGATAGTTGTTTATAAGGTCCGTTATCTTGCCAAAAGTGGGTGAGTAATCCAAAAAGACATATTAGGCTATTGAGACATAATAGGTTAATGTGACTAATTTGGAATGTGCATTTGTTGACATACAGTGAATTAATTAAGTGATTGTACCGGGAGTATTGAAATTTCATTTAAGTGGGCATAATGTATAAGTAGGTAACCTGATTACATTCTATGAAGTTATTGTCAGGTACAACATGTTTGATAAAAACTTACATTTAACTTTTCAAGCGAAGTGCAAATTTACATTAAATTTCCTACATAAGAAAATGCCTGTACCAAATCAGGAATATGACAGTTGTTATCCATTCGTTTGATGTGTTTGAGCTTTTGATTTTGCCATTTGATCAGGAACTTTCCTTTTTGAATTTTCCTCGGAGTTCAGTATTTTTGCGATTTTACTTTTTACAAACGATTTTTTGGGGGTTTATTTTGGCGTTATGTAGTTTTCTCATTGACACATACCCCACACATCCTTTTATTCGTACCGCCTCGGTGGTCTCGTGGTAGCGTGTTCGCCTTGAGTGCGGGAGGTCGTGGGTTTGAATCCCGGCCGGGTCAAACCAAAGACTTTAAAATTGGTATTTGCTGCTTCTCCGCTAAGCACGCGGCATTAAGGAGTAAGAACAAAGACTGATCAGCTCGGAGTCAGAATAATGTGTGGATAAGGTGACATATCTTCCTGCGAACTGTCACCTTGTGTGATGTCATCCTGGTTTGCCCACTTTTAATTACGTGCATATGTAAACATAGGGAGGATTGTTGTTTTAACAATTATAGTTTATTTCTGAATTATAGTCATATTTTTTACCTTTTATTTTACCTATAAAATTTTATCAAATACTATATTCTGCTATTAAATCAATGAAAATGTTCAAAATTTTTAATATAGTTTTTATCAGGAAAATGTATTGAATTTGACGATAAATTCTAACAAATAGAATAAAAATGCAACTGTTCAGTAGCCAAGCTTTACAAATGAAATAATTTGAACAGTAATCTGCATCCAAGCTAGCATTTTCTTCTTTAAAAAAACCCCAACAGATTGTTATTTTACCATAGTGCTCTATTTATTTCATTATGCAATACATTTATAAACTTGATTCATATATTAGGTGACGACCATTTGATATTGTAGGGGGTGGGGGAGGATTTTGAAAATAAATAACTCAGCCTTGATAATAAGAAAAAAATAATGGTTTGTCCTGTAGTAGTTTGAAAATAAATAAACTGACTTTAAATGTATTGAAAATAAATAACTCGGCAGGTCTTTTAAGCCATTTTATAAATACTATTCTAAAGTATGAGATGGCACCAGATTCTTCCAAAATTAGTCTTTTTCGTTCTTTTTAGGGAAAATTTTCCCAAATCTTTAAATAATATAATGTATATATATTAATTTACTTGAATTAAATGTTTGAAAATGGTTTCATTTAACTAAGGTATATTGTCTTAGGAACATTTACTTTATTCTCTTAGTGTTGCTTTCCATTTGTAATTTAGTAAAAAAAATTAACCTAACTTTTATTTTTTTTAAGGATTTTTTATCTAAAAAAAAATAGCAGCCACATCCATAAAACTATATGTGAACTACTTGTTTTTGCTTTATCCTACATATTGGTCTTTTGATGACTAAAAGTCTTACACTGAAACTATATATTTTGCCTTGAGACTAAAATGTTGTCAAAAAATAATTAAAACAGAACTTGCATAGGAAACACTGATAAACTATATACATAAGTTGGAACAGACTATATAATTGTATGCTCATTAGGTGTCTTCCCGATTGTCCCACTTTTTGAAATTACAGGTAAAAAAGTAATGAAATTTTGTGGGACAATCGGGAATATGTTTGTGGGACAATTGGGAAGTTTAAATGTGGGACAATTGGGAATTGTTCTGATAGTGATTAATTTGTTTTTATAGTCTGTGTCAGTTAATTACAAGTTACTAATCACTGTAACTTATAAAATATGAAAAAAACCATGAACAAATAATAATACTAACTTATTATATTTTGCACATACATGTAGTAGGTACAATTGAAGTATCATCAAACATGGAATATAATATGAAATCATAAAATTTTAGTCTTAGATGCATGATTTTTTTAATTAGTTTTTATTGGCTTTGAACTAGCTGTCAGTAACTGAGAATACTCTAAGATCTGTACTTAGTGTCTTTGTTGTGGGGATGTATAAGTAGCCGTTCACGTCCATGTCCACTCTGTGATTTGTTAGATGTATTTCTGTCTGTACCCATCTGATGAGATAAGCCTTTTTCAACTTATTTTTTTTAGTTTATTCTTATGTTGTACTGTAACATCACTGTCCCAGGTTAGTGGGAGGATTGGCGCCTTCAAATAAGTATAACCCCGCCACGTTCTGTATGTGTCTGTCCCAAGTCAGGAGCCTGTAATTCAGTGGTTGTCGTTTGTTACTGTGTAACACATTTGTTTTTCGTTCATTATTTTGTACATAAATTAGGTCGTTAGTTTGTCTAGTTTGAATTTTTTTACATTTTTCATATGGGAACTTTAAAGCTGACTCTGCTGTATGGGCTTTGCTCATTGTTGAAGGCCGTATTGTGACCTATAGTTGTTAATTTCTGTGTCATTTAGTCTTTTTTGGAGAGTTGTCTCATTGGCAATCATACCACATCTTTTTTTTTATGGAAGTCTGGTTCTTCTTTATAGTTGGTGACGAGTCCTGTTGACTGCACTTTATGGCAAAGACACTGGGAATATTGGAAAAACAACCTTTGATATTGATTCTTAGAAAGGCTGATCTGGCAGAATTCTAGACAACAGCTTCGTTATCAAAAAAAGGAAGTTGTTGGGTTCAGGTGAATCTGACGTTGGGTGTTAGTAGTCTTCAATAGTGCAGAGAATGTTGTATTAATGTCCTCTGACTTCCCTAGTAAAATTGTAAAGACTTCTGGAAAAATCTCTCCATCAACAAGTTCGTGTAAAGTGTAGAATGTAAATGAGTTTATACCTTTTTTTTTAAACTGCATGCATTATTTATTCAAAAACTTTAGAGAAAATGTAACTAAAATTACGGTATTGAAATTTGTTTTATAAATAACGTAACATTGTAGATATATTTCATAAATCAGAAATAATTTTTTTTTAATCAAAAGTGCATTAATCTAATGATTTAAAAAACATTTTTTTTTATACTTCTATAAAATTAATATTAAATGTGCAATAAATTAATTCTTGTTTATTTAGCAAAACAAACAACAGTTACATTGTTTATCTAAGAACATTTTACTTCATAAAATAATGTGGGACAATCAGAACTTTTCATGTGGGACAATCAGAACTCTAAAATTTTAAAAAGTGGGACAATCGGGAATAAACCGCTCATTAAACCTTTTGTCTTTTTTTTTTTCTTTACTAATAAATAATTGGTGTAATTAAAAGTGTGCAAACCAGGAGTAAACCCCTTGTGTACTAGCTCGTTAAAAATCCGACTCAGCCTGTCGGTCTAGTACAATGCAGGGTTAATATTCATATTACATTAACATGTTCTCGTCCTGAATATGCATATTAATTTGCCGCTGGACGTTAAGCAGCCATCCATCATCATCATCCTTTTATTCGTTTTCATATTTTCGAGCCCATGAGGAACATGCGCAATTTAAGTAAACTAGTCTATAGGTGCTTATTCTATTTTTCCTTTTCAAACATCATTAAATACTTAAAATTTTAATTCTTATTTTTCCTTGATTTATACTCAAGCATGCATGTATTTGTCTCGTTGATCGTAATTCAATAGAAAGGGCGTGAAGTTGGGGTCCAAAATTTAGCATGTTTATTTTTAAGCATTTAAAGAATATAAACCTTCCTTCATTAATTGTTATGAAAAAAATGTGTTATTGAAAGCAACATACATCACTGTTTACATGTTTAATTGATTTTAGGTTACCAGTTTTCCAAGGTGCTTCATCATCATTTATGGTACCACTTATTGCTTTGCAAAGCTCAGATACATGGAAATGTCCATCAGATTTGAAAGGTTAAGTAAACGTATCAGATAGAGGGCAACCTAATATGTCACGAGTTTTATGTTCAAAAAGAGAGGCGAAAGATACCAAAGGGATGTCGAAACTCATAAGTCGAAAATAGACTGACAACGCCATGAAAATGTACAAATACACAGAAGGTGGTAATACTTTTACATACATAAATATATAAATAATTCCTATTCCTATATATTTATGTATTTATATTCAATATTTTAGTGGCCTCGGCGGCCCAATGGTCTAAGTAGTCCATCACGTGGCAGGTGCGTTCGACTTTAATCTTATTACCGAAGGTCGATGGTTCTCTCCGGGTACTCCTATTTCCTCCACCAATAAAAACTGACCGACACGAAAAAGGCAACAGTGCCGAAAATTGAGTAATCACCAATCAATCATATCAAATCAAAATTATTAAACAGGCTATTGCATATGAACGGGGAGTAACAAGATAATCAGCTATTTCCACCTACTTTATTTGTGAATTAAAATTAGGAAATTCTAAGCAATCATTGTCGGCTTTACAAAAATGAAAAAAAAATAATCAAAATTAAACGACAAACCAATCAAATGTTCAACAAAAAATGCATTACAACGTTTTAAATTGACCGACGCCTAACAAAATTGATAAAAGACAAACACAATCGAACGGACTATTTCTTATTCAGTACTATTCAGACATGTCAGTTGCAGTTAATTCCACTGTTCAGTATCTTTTCGGAACATTTAGTAAGTTATTGAAGAGTATAGGTAAATAACAGCTATCAAGACAACACACCATTTTTTGCGGGAAATGTCTGTACCAGGTCAGGAATATAGTGGTCTTCCATTCGATCCGTTGGTTGATAAAGTCTAACGTTTGATTTTGTCGCTTTTTATGGACTTACCCTTTTTGAATTTACCTTGGAGTTCGGTATTTTAATTGATAATTTTCTACTGAACATAGACTGAACAAAATTATATTGACTGCAAGCGAATTGTCTAAACAGTACTGGATTTACCACAGTAGATAAGTCAGAAGAAGACTGAAGGACTGAAAATAATTTAACAACTTATTATTTAGTCTTAAAAGAGCTGTTAGAATCAAAATGACCGTTTTAGATCAAAATAAGTTTACTTGTGGTTGAAAGTCAAACCAAGTTTACCCTAAATGCTAGAGACAAAGGAACCTGACGTCATTAGAGAAAAGACCTTAATAATACATGTAACATTCTAAATTATTTACAATTAATTATGTACCAAAATCCACTGATAATGATATATTATGAAAAATGAATGCATAAACTTGTCGTTTTTCTTCCATTCTATTCATTGATAATAGTGAACGAAATGTATAACTGCCTTTTTCTAACGATTTTTCGAACGATTGATCTCGCTGCACTATAGTCCATTTGTGCTGACGCAGCCTTAACCACAATCAATCGTCCATTAATAAAAATCAAAGTTAACTTTTTAAATATTGTCATGCCTTAACTATTTATATCTTGTTTTCAGAAAGTAATATAACTAATGTAACAACAAGCAACATTTCAAATTCACTGACGACAAACATTGTATACAGTAGATTAACAGAAGTAAGTATGTATTATACTTTTTAAGCATTTTTATTATTTGACACAAATCAACCCTTCATAAACCAGCCGCTTTCATTTGCCAAGTGCTTGTACCTTGTCCGAAAAATAAATAAATAACTTTTTACACTATCTATAAAAAATCTGTTATTATGAGATAATTTTAAAAATATCGTCTTCCGACGATAAACTAGGTAACCGATGTTCAAATATCGTACAGCCATTAAGAATATACAAAATCAATATGAAACAAAACCTGACAGAATCGCATTCACTTAAAACGGAGAAAAACGACAGGATAAGAGTCTCATATACATGCATAAACAGTAAAATAACAAAAATACCGAACTCCAAGGAAAATTCAAAACGGAAATTCCTTTATCAAGTGGCAAAATCAAAAGCTCAGACACATCAAACGAATGGAAAGCAACTGTCACATTCCTGACTTGGTACAGGCATTTCCTTATGTAGAAAATGTTGGATTAAACCTGGTTTAATAGCTAGCTCAACCTCTCACTTGTATGACAGTCACATAGAATTCCATTATATTGACAACAATGTGTTAGCAAAACAAACAGACATAATAGGTAAAAATGTCAAAAATTGGGGTAAAGCAGTCAACATTGTGTTATTATCTTAATCACTATAAACAAATAACTATTTCAACAAAGAAAAACAAAATGGCATAAAGACACTCTATAGACAAATTACAACCAAAAATGAAAGACAAGAATATAAAAAAAAGTCCATAGCACAATAACACAATGGCGGAATGTATAAATACCGAGCCACGCTAAAAGTATATAAGCCCTCATAATTAAGTCGTCAAAATGAAACATGAAGGAATATTATTAATCGGTAAATGTACGTATATAGATAAGACGACTATTCTGGTATCTCAATATTTGATGATTGATTGTTGGTTGCTTAACGTCCAGTGGCAAATATTTCATGCATGTTCAGGACGAAAACAAATTAACATTAAATACAATAGGTAGGTCCTGAAATAGGGAAGTATGTCCAGTGCACGATGTTTTATCGATATTGTCAACATTGCGATGTCTACTGTATCGTGTCATTATTGTGTTTACATTGTATCGAATCTATACCTTGTGTTTACATTGTTTACATCAAAGACATTGCGATTTTGACAATAGCGAGCCAACATCGTGTTTATATTGTATAACAAGTCAATACCTTTGTGTTTACATCGTTCACATCGTCAACATCGCAATGTTGACAATATCGTGTCAACATCATGTTTATATTATATAACGAGTCTTTATGTTTAAATCGTTCACCTTGTTAAAATCGTGTCAACATCGTGTTTATAATGTAAACTGAGTCTTGAGTTTTGTTTTTACATTTTTTACATCGTAAACAGTATATAAGATTTCATTCAATATAAATGCTGTTGATAAGATATCGTCAACACTGCAATGTAAACGAGGTAAACACGATATTGATTAGACATGGTATACATCGCAATGTTAAGGATATTAACGGCTTAAACAGTATATAAGAGTTGTTTCAATGTAAACGATGTTAAAACGATATCGTGTAAACATTGTCAATATCGCAATGTAAACACGATATCGTCACTACTTTGTAAAGATCACGATATTAACAATGTCAACGAATTGTATAGTAGTTCTTACAATGTAAACGACGTTAACACGATATCGTGAACAAATTTGTGATATCGCGATGTAAACAATGTTAATACGATATCGTCACTACATTATATACATCACGATGTTAACGATGTCAACGATGTAAACAGTATATAAGAGTTCTTACAATGTTAACGATGTTGATACGATATCGTGTTATCATTGTTAATATCGTGATGTCAACGATGTAAACACGATATCGTTACTACATTGTTTACATCGCGATGTTAACGATGTAAGTACTATATAAGAGTTCTTACAATGTTAACGATGTTGACACGCTTTCGTGTTAACATTGTTGATATCGCAATGTCAACACGATATCATTACAACATTGTATACATCACGATTTTAACGATGTCAACGGTGTAAACAGTATATAAGAGGTCTTACAATGCTAAGGATGTGGACACGATCTCGTGTTAACATGTTTAATATCGCAATGCCGACAATATTGTTTTGACATTGTGCACTGAAAATGGATGGGAATGGGGGCCTTCAGGGTCGAAGGTCGGGAAATTTGAAGTGCCACTAGGAAATGAGGGTATATTTGATAGGGACAGAAATTTTGGCTTGCATCATGTCAACCATGGATCCCAAAAAGGGATGTTGCAAAGGTTTTTAACGGGCAGTAAACGTGGCACTCATTCTACACGAGGCATCGGATTTAACGTCTCCATTCTGAATGGACGTGGCTACATATTTATATATCCCGCACAGCCAAACGGACGCTCCACTTTGTCAAGGGTTTTACTGGCGGTCGGATAACGATCAAGAGTGACCCTTTTTCATTCCCCAGTCACCGTTGGGGTCAATATCTAATAATGCGAAAAACATGTCTCTTTTGAATTGAGACACAGATACATCATTATAAAAATACCATTTCATGATGATGACTGTGAATACTTATGAATTTTCGATTTCAGTCAGACTACATAATGACCACCGGCACTCCTCTACGAATCCTTTTAAGGCGTATATTCAATATGTTTGACCTTTTGACGCTTCCCAATAAAACGTGTATAGTATTATGATTTTTGTGTATGTAGAATAATGATTGTGCTTGAGGAAGGTTGTATGGTCTTCAAATTTCAATTTAAAAGATATATTAAAACTTTAAATTATCCTGAAAACTTTTATGTGGGTAATTTTAAATGGTACGCATGATGCATGATAAAAATGGTAAAGGAGTAATGAGACGACATAGCAAACTCAACTTAAATACGACAAATGACAAAATTATCACAAGACACATACCAATTCAGGGAGCCTCGGTGGCCGAGTGGTTTAAGTAGTCACTACTGTAATCACTAGCAAGTCAACACTGAGGTTGTGAGTTCGAACCCCGCTCGTGCGGGTGCACTCGACTCCAATCTTAATTGACTAGGATTGTCAGATTTCCTATCGGATGTCGGTGGTTTTCTCCGGGCACTCCGGCTTCCTCTACCAATAAAAACTGGCCGCCACGAAATAGCCCAAAAGCGGTGCTTAAAAGTGGCGTTAAAACACCAAAAATCAAATCAAATCATACCAACTCAACTAGTGAGATTCATAAGAACATAGGTAAGCATATGTTTAATTTTGCATTCAGCTGTTGACAATGAACTAAATGTAAGTAAAATTGAACAATATAAAGTGCAATAAAGCAGTTATATATGTTTGTACCTGGTTATTGTGTTAAATCATAAACTGTTCCAAATTTACTGCACCAGATGCGCATTTCGACAATGTATGTCTCTTGTGATGCTCACTGCCAAAATATTTGAAAATAAAAAATCCTAAACAAACTTTGACGAGCATATAAAACCAAAAAAAGACCTAAAGAATTATATGAATATTTTGACATTTCAGCTCCAAGGAAGCCTAATAGCAGCCTCTATGTTTGAAGTTGTAATTGGATTAACCGGATTAATTGGCCTTTTGATGAAATTTATATCACCAATCACGATCGGAGTAACACTCTTCTGTTTAGGATACTCACTGTATCCTGTAGCTATTTTCCTGTGTAAAGCACATTGGGGTATATCGCTTGTGTATGTGGTAAACATAATTATGATTATATTAATGCTTCATCATCTTAAGAAAAAAATTAAGGAAAATTATATAATAGAAAAGAAAGGATATGGGGTGTGCACCCATGACACAAATTCAGTACATGCACAGCAAAACACACAAAAAGCAAAGGGACAGCGCTTTTATTGCTGTTCTTCTTCTCAAATTGACAGTTATATACTTCATCTTCGGACAAATAATATGCAATGAACTTATCACAAGAAGCTGTCAAAAATGATAGGTTAGAATAAAATATAGTTCACACCTGTTTTTTTTTAATTCTTAAAACGAAATGGTTTTATCGGTTCTAGTTGTCTTTTCAAAACTATAACATCCTTTTAATAACACATTTGTTTTTCTTTATTTCCTTTAGTGGTTGCGGAATCACTGTTTTGTTTTCTGTGTACATGTCGCATATTAAAGTTACTCTTCCAAACTGCAATCGGAAGTCAGAGAAGAAATCAAAGCCATATCCGGTTTTTCAAGTATTTCCGGTAAGTATATATTGCTAAGGTACAAATTCAGTTTTGAGTCGAAACATTGATTAAAAAACAAACAGTACAGATATGTGGCTTCGAGGGAAACATGCGTTGATAGATTGTTTTTTTTATCTATACACATGTATCAACTTTTATTTAATGTTTCGGATAAAATTGCTCATAAATTCAGAGGTGCAGATTGTTTAAGAAAAGGCTTAGTTAAGGGCAAATATTACAAAACAGGTATACAGACAGTTTCGGAATGAAACGTATTTGCATATATTGCCTTGATTGAAGAAGTATGCTCTTTATACTTTTGTCGATTAATAATAGGCCTGAACGTAAGCATTTGACATAAATCATCCTCTTTGGTCCGATAATTTCGTAAACAAGTGTTCAGAAATCATCCGTTCAGAGCAAAACATGCTACTCTGTACTTAATCCTCTCAAGGCAATACACCGTAAAGAAGTCTTCTGACAATTAAAGTAGAAAATGGCATTCGGCACATATTTCTCCATGTAACTATTATAGCTTGCAAAATATAACACAATCTGACAATTGTAATGCAAATCTACCGCATTTTGATAAATAAACAGGCATCCTGGCGAAACCTCCCCTTCGCGTCAGAACGGCCAGGCGTAATACAATCAACGTGAACAGGACTGAATAACTGCGCATGTGCGCGTTCTATAAACAATGAATATATCGATCGGATAAGTAATTAACTGCTGATTTACGATGTTAATCACTAATGTTTATATCATAATGGCTATAATTTTCTGGAATTTGCTTTTTTTATAATTTTAAAAGGAACTTTCAATAAATTCGTGGCAATATTATTTTCCCGTCAATGTATCAAGAAATGATGTTATCCCACAATGCATCATTCTTACATCCAATAAACGAATACATGGTGTTGTATTCCGCCTGGCTCTACTATCAAGAAGTGAGCCAGGATCCAATCTACTTAATAATTACATTTGGAACATTTTTATCTGTCAGACTATTTGAATCTATAATGGCTTTTAGTTTTCTTGTACCAATGCATGAATTTCACTGGTTTTCATGTACTTTGATGGATTAGAAAAGATCAACCACATATTATTTACCTAATTAACGATTCCTAGTATGTGTTATATAAAAAAATAAGGAGATGAGATATGATTGCCAATGAGATAACTATCCACCAAAGTTCAAATTAAGTGGATGTGAGCAATTATAGGCAACCGTACGGCCTTCAACAATGAGAAAAACCCATACCCTATAGTCGGCTATAAAAGGCCCCGACATGAAAAAATATGAAACAATTCAATAACAAATTTATCTAATACCCTAATTTATAACAAAACAATTAACGAAAAACAAATATGACAGACATGAACCAACGACAACCACTGAACTACAGGCTCCTGACTTGGGACAGGCACATAAAGAATGTGGCGGGGTTAAACATGAATGTGAGCGCTCAACCCTCCACCTATCCTGGGACAGTGGTGTAACACCACAACATAATAACAAACTATAAAAATCAGTTGAAAAAGGCTTAACTCATCAGATCGATTCATTTATACATTATTTGCAAACTTAATATTTCTTCGTCCTGTTTACAGGTTCTTTTCACTCTGATAATAATGTGGGTTGTGTGTGCTGTATGTACGAAATTAAACGTCTTTTCTAATGATCCTGATGATATGTCGTTCAAAGCAAGAACAGATGTTAGAAACAAAGTGATCCAAGACACGCCTTGGATTCTTATTCCTTATCCAGGTAGGTCATGTAATGGTGTGCTGAGCTCAAACTTAAAATGGAAAACTGGTTAATATCCTACATGAAAAGAAAAAAATAATTAAAAACATATGTCATAGAAAAGCAAATACCAACATCAAAATAAAAGTAAAAAATACCTCAAAAACACATTTGTATCGAAAATTTGGGAACTCTTCTTGTCCGTGTGTTAACCCCGACAATTTAACAACTGCTGATTCACTAATGCATCCCGATATGGTAATTGATTATTCTAGGTAGAAATTCGGTGGTGTCATAAAACGGTAAAAGACGGAATCGGAATTTGGCTACGACATTTGGAACATATTTGTGGCAATCTACGACAAAAATATCCAATCACTTTTAACTAAATCATGATAATGTACATCAACTTTTCGACAATACGAGTTCACCTTCATTATTTGGAGTCCGGAGTTCATAAACATACTTTGAAGCAGCAAACCAAGCTTGCCAATATACCGCTTAGAAGATATAAAATGGGAGGTATAAACCCCATATTTATGTGCAACTGGAATGTAGGGACATTTAATTACGATAATTCGTGGTGCTCAGTCTTTAGTTTCATACGTTGTGTTTTGTGTACTATTGTTTGTCTATTTGTCTTTTTCTTTTTTAGCCATTGCGTTGTCAGTTTATTTTCGACTTATGAGTTTGAATGTCCCTTTGGTATCTTTCGCCTCTCTTTTATTATTTTCCGTTTTATTTGAACTGGTTGATAGTATCATTATCATATGATTGGTCGGGATATGAAAATGATCGAGTCGGTTCACTGTCTCGCATTCTTGAATTCATCGCGCAAAAATATACGTTCCATTTCATTCACACTAAAATAAACTATTTATTATAAGATTTTGACAAACTTTGTGACATTAAATCCATCTTCATCAATAAAGTTGAGATATGATTAATTGAGCATTCTTTTATATAAAGGTCAATTTGGAACACCTAAATTCAACACAGCAATTTTCCTTGGATTCTTAATTTCTGTGATTACATCAGTGATCGAATCAGTTGGGGACTACATAGCAACAGCACGCGTCTGTCATGCATATCCTGTACCCAGGCATGCGCTGAACAGAGGAATAGCTATAGAAGGAATATTTAGTGTAATATCTGGAACTCTCGGTACCGGTCACGCAACAACATCCTACAGCACGACAGTATCACTCCTTGGATTGACCAAAGTAAGTTTGATCTGTAATGGAGGTAAATTAATTGATGTTTTACATTTATGCTGATTTTTATAGCATTCATTTCATATGATGTTTAGGTCATCTTACAAAAATGCCTTTGTATTCTCTTGGCAGCTGTCGACTGGCGTACACAAGTCACATTTGTTTCCCCAAACTCTTTTTTCGAAACCACTGTTACCAATTCAAACCAAATTTCAAAGGATAAATCTTAATAATTTGTTTGTGAAGAATTACATTAAATGTACGTTCATCAGCCAACATTGCCGAAACTCGTGTGCCAGACTGACATTACAGAACCATCCATAAACAGTGCATCTTCACGTTGAATATTTGCCATTTATCGATCACTGACTTTCTGGGAAATTAATATGTCATATTGTCTATTATGATTTTGGTGTTGCTTGTTGTAGCAATTTGCCAGTTTAAGTTGATATACACAAAGAGTTATGAAACTTAAATCCACTTCATCTATTTTGAGAAACTGTGCATCTGAATTATCTGATGCATCGATTTGTTCCGATTTAAACCTTTGTTGTTTATCTTATTGATAAATATTCCGTATCATCTTCACAAATAATACATGATGGTCTTGATGTAAAGATTCTAGGTACTGACGTTGTTTATCATCTGAACTACGTGTTATAGTGTTCTTTTATTTGTCTTTGTAAATTATTAACGTTTACTGTTTGGTCCATTTTTGGTAATATCCTTTAGGTGTGACTCGGTACTTGTACATCCCGGCATTGTGTTGTTGTCATTTTTTGTATTCTTGTGTTTCAATGTTGTGTATGTGCTTTGTCTATATGCCATTTTGTTTTTCTTTGTTGACATATTTGTTTGTTTTTATAGTAATTTGAGATTATTACACAATTCTGGCTGCTGTACCCCTTTTTTTGACATTTTTACCTATTATGTCTGTTTGTTTTGTTCACACATTGTTGTCAATATAATGGAATTTTATGCGACTGTCATACAAGTGAGAGGTTTAGCTAGCTTTAAAACCAGGTCTTTTTCAAAAACTTTGTCATTTTCATTCAATTCGAAGTTCGTACCAATAATTCGATAAAACCCGAAAACCTCTTTTGACTATCATTACATGTATATCATATTCGTTCAACCACCTTTCGTGCATTATAATTCTTGCATCATTGATTTTATGATCACGTATTGACCTAAAACATTGACATACTATCCTCGTGAATTCTATCATTTAATTACCATTGGCCCTTTTGTGCGTGTTGAAGGATCTGCGTTAAAAAAACTCTTTTGATGTAAAAATAAGTGTCGTCAATGATCAGAATAACGGGGTTTGTCAAATAAATACCAATTCATGTTGTCAAAGATTTATACTTTGTTTGTTTGACTTCATATAATGTCATATTCAGCCCGGCCTAACCCTAATAAGTTGTAATAATCAGCATCGCTAATGAATCAAAATCAATTCATTTATTTGTTTTATTCAATCAAACGGGAAACTAGGTGACAAGATCTCAAATCTAAACGCAGAATTTGAGAAAGGAATTAAACATATCAGTCTTACAGTTTATACTGTTTCGAGAGTACTTGTGACTGATAAAATGCCGTGCAGAAAATCTTGCAAAATGTAGTTAAAATCGATTAACAGTGTCGCTGATACCATAAATATTAAAAGTTATTAGAAGTATAAGCAGTCATGCACATAAATAATATAAGAAAAGCGACATTTTACAAACAAAATTCGTATTTGATTGGTTGGATTTAGTGAAGACTACGTTTACGACAAATTGGTTGATTCTTGGTTGCTTATCGTCCAGTGGCAAATATTTCATGTATGTTCAGGAAAAAAACAAACTAACAATACAAACAATAGGTAGATCCTGTAATCTGGCCTGCCACTGGAAAATAAGGGAAAATTCGATAGGGACCAAAATTAAGCCTTGTAACAGGCCACCTATGGAACCACCAAAACGTTGTAGCAAGAGTTCTTAACGTGCAGAGAGAATGCCACACTCTCTACACGAGTCATCGTATTTAACGGCCCCATTCTAATCGGACGTGGCTGCGTACTTATACATCCAAACGGACGCCATACGTTTGCAAGGGTTTTATTGCCGGTCAAAAGAAGACCAACGTGACCATATTTCTATTCCCAGTCACCCTTGGGGTCTGTTTACGGGAGACATTATGCAATAAACAGATGGATACTCATTTAATATTATTTGTGAACAACAAGAAAGGACATATATAACAAAAATAGAACGTTTGTATTAAGGTTCATTTAGATTGCTGCTTCATTGACTATTATTGCACTTTGCCATTTGTTCTACCTTCCACCATTACGCGGCCACCATCAATTAACTGATTATTTTGTTCATCTCTTATCTTTTTTAGATAGGTAGCAGAATAGTCTTGGTCGTCTCCGGAATAATGGCAGTCGTTTTAGCAATTATTGGAAAATTTGGAGCTGTAATGACGTCAGTACCTGATCCAGTATTAGGAGGCATTACCTTTGCTATGTTGGGAGTACTCTGTTCTCTTGGCATTTCTGCGTTACAAAACGTTGAACTCAGATCCAGCAGAAACTTGTCTGTAATTGGAATTTCTTTATATTTTGCAGTGGTGTTTTCGGAATGGCAACGAAAATTTCCGGATTCATTGAAAACAGGTATTTTTATAAGAATTTATTTTAGGACTGCCTATAAAAAAATTCATGTTATTTCGGAAATTATTTTATTTTGTTGGGTAATTTGATACGAAAACAAAACAGTCGGATGTTGACTAAATACAAGAGTAAATATGGAACTCTCCGAGAAGTATATATGTGTTCAGTTTTGAGTTGTGACGCACTGGCACACCTAAATTAAGCCCTTGTTTTTTGATGATTAAAGGTTGTTCATTTTTCAAGTTTCTGTGTAGTGGTATGAGAACTGCTTGGTTTTAGTCGTGTTTACTGACTCGACATTCTCGGATGTGGAAGGTTGTTTGTCTCAGTGATCACAAACCAGGTGAAACCAAACACGTAAATATATCCGCTTTGTACTTGGAAGTTTAGGATTAAACGCAAAGGCTGGTCAGCTTTCAGTCAAACATGCGTCAGGGTAGTTTGGAGGGTTGTTTTTTTTTTTTTTTGGGGGGGGGGGGGGGGGGGTATCGTGGCCTTGATAGCTAGCACGTTATGAATACGTCTCAGCGTGGTTTTTATACAAACATGGTTAATAATCATTTCTCGTCCTGATGTGCTTGTAATATTTGCTACGTGACGTAAAAATCAAATTGACCATCCATCATTTTTTTTCTTCTTTTAGTAATGATGTTGTCTGTCTATATTGGACGTTGTAATTTTCCACTTGGATCTTCTTCTGCTTCGATCATTCTATTTTATGAAAAGTTAAATAATTAAAGAACCTTAGTGAGCGCGCTCACATACCCCATGTCCCCACATTGTCACTGGAGAAATAAAATAACTGTAAGAAAAAAAAATTGTATAAGAAAAAAAAATGAATCATAATTTCCTGTCGATATGCACATCTACATAGTATGTCCTTATTATCTACAAAGTTTCATGAAATTCTGTTGTGTGGTTTCAGAGGAGTTGCGATGACAAACTGTTGCAGTAGTATATTGAAACAAATAAGTTCAAAGGGGTGTAACTCCTAAAAAAAAATTGAATCATAATTTCCTATCGATATGCACATCTACATAGTATGTCCTTATTATCTACAAAGTTTCATGAAATTCTGTTGTGTGGTTTAAGAAAAGTTGCGATGACAAACTCTTGCAGAAGTATATTGAAGCAAATAAGTTCAAAGGGGCGTAACTCCTAGAAAAAAATTGAATCATAATTTCCGGTCGATATGCACATCTACGTAGTATGTCCTTATTATCTACAAAGTTTCATGAAATTCTGTTGTGTGGTTTAAGAAAAGTTGCGATGACAAACTCTTGCAGAAGTATATTGAAGCAAATAAGTTCAAAGGGGCGTAACTCCTAGAAAAAAAATTGAATCATAATTTCCTGTCGATATGCACATCTACATAGTATGTCCTTATTATCTAAAAAGGTTTCATGAAATTCTGTTAAGTGGTTTCAGAGGAGTTGCGATGACAAACCGTTGCAGTAGTATATTGAAGCAAATAAGTTCAAAGGGGCGTAACTCCTGGAAAGAAATTGAATTGTAATTTCCTGTCGATATGCACATCTACGTAGTATGTCCTTATTATCTGAAAAGATTTCATGAAATTCTGTTGTGTGGTTTGAGAGGAGTTGCGATGACAAAAGGTTGCAGTAGTATATTGGGCAAATAAGTTCAAAGGGGCGTAACTCCTGGAAACAAATTGAATCGTAATTTCCTGTCGATATGCACATCTACGTAGGATGTCCTTAATATCTGAAAAGGTTTCATGAAATTCTGTTGTGTGGTTTGAGAGGAGTTGCGATGACAAAAGGTTGCAGTAGTATATTAGGCAAATAAGTTCAAAGGGGCGTTTTTCCTGGAAAAAAAATTGAATCGTAATTTCCTGTCGATATGCACATCTACGTAGTATGTCCTTATTATCTGAAAAGGTTTCATGAAATTTTGTTGTGTGGTTTGACAGGAGTTGCGATGACAAGAAACAGGACTGACGGACTGACGAACGGACGGACTGACAGACGGACAGATGGACAGACGGACGGACGGGTCAAAAACATTATACCCTCCGCAACTCGTTGCGTGGTGTATAATAATCAAGTGTTGCGAGAAACAATGTCAGACTTTTATACTATTAACATTACCTGTTCTGACTGTCGTGTTTTTGTTTTTATATTTTATAAGTCACCAGCTATTGTAACTAATGCAAATGTTTTTACTACAACCAGGCAATGCTGCTGCTGTGAAATTTCAATCCCCGAGAGTACAAATCGTCCAGTAGATAATGCTTAGATATCGGAAAGCTAACGATATTTACCAACAAAGCATGCATGCAGGGAGGTAAAAAATTGTTAGTGTGCTAACTTGGCTGCTGTTCTGAAACTTGCTAATACAATTTTTAAATAATCATATCTTTAAGCTCAGTCAGTTATCGGGTTGTGCGAAATATTTAAGTATTAAAAAAACGGTATTCCCAGGCAGTTACCCATCCGAGTACTAACCGAGCAGCGCAACGTTGTTTAGCTTCGGTAATCAGACGAAAACCGGTGCTTTTAACGTGATATGGTTGCAGAAACAGAAGTGTTGACATTTTTGATATATAAATTTAGGAGCCGTCGGAACTCGTGTACTTAGCATTTTACATCATAATATGTATAAAGAAGAAGCAAAATGTTTATTCTATTGAAAAAAAAATGCACACACAACACTGGGGGTGGGTCCGCCGAATTTATGTGTCCAACGAAATTCACGGGCAGCAGGCAAAGTTTAAAGTGTACATAAGGTGGTTATGACTGTTCTGTGTATGTAACTCTTTTAGTGCTTTCAAATATTCTGTAATGTGTAGGCTCCTTTTGCTCTTTTTGCTTTCAGTGTCTTTCGTTTGGTCCAAATTCGAGCTTATCTTATTATGGTTATTCCAAAACAAGTGTAGTTTGCACGAAAATTGTTGTCATAGATTCATTTGTTTCAGTTATGAAAACTATGTTTTAAGTTGAATCAAGCATTGTATAACAACAATCATTATACAGGATATTTCTTTTCAGATTCGGACCAACTAAATCAAATTGTTAAGGTTACCATTGGCAACGCCATGTTCATAGGATTTATTGTTTCTTTGATAATGGACAACACAGTGAGAGGTAAGATAATCTTCAAAGTAAGATGTGTATAACCTGTACTGAATGAATGACATACTAACTAGTAAATGCAATGGTACTATTAACTTTGACGATGATAGAATGAAATGCTTGCTGTCCGATCTTGAAATACAAAAGTTGAAAAATAAAAATTCGCTTTGCAAATTTCTTTTAAAGATTAGTTCGAAAGTCGACAATGGATTAAAAACAACATAGATTATATTGTGCTGAGTGAAGCATATATAGCAACGGATGCTTACCTTGTCGACGCATCGTCATGTTTGGCTTTTATACGATTCACTTAGCTATTTGTTTGTTACAATGTTTGGTCATTGGTCGATTTATGAGATTTGAACATCGGTAAACTACTGTTGATTTAGTTTTTTCGTCAGACGTCACCATCCATTTGAAGGGAGTGTTCGTTTGGTTTCGCGGGATGTTAAATTCGATATCCTGATTATAGAAAATATCAAGCTTAACTTAAACCTCTTTTGTCAATAATATTTGCAGTAATTCTTAGTAGGGTCATTGCTATTAAGGAAATTATTTCTGAATTTACTACCTTTCCATTGGCAATCTAATTACCAATCTTGTAAAAAAACATACGAGACATTTTGATTTGACAATTTTATGGACTCTCCCACGACAATTACACCATGTGCGCGCTACATTTTCGAGATTTTACGATCGGAGATTTCCTTCTTGGTGGTATTATTTGTCATTATGCTGACCATACTTCTACGTCATTTGGTCTCTGTTGAAAAGTTGTATCATTGGCAATCATACCACATCTTCTCATTTTTATATATACCAGTATTTTGATTTTAGAATTCTTGCTTGAGCTATTGGACTTGATAAAAAAAAAAACACATTTTGCATTTTTTACAAACAAAGCTGCATTTGTTACCAAATTAATTCTTGTACTTTTTGTTGTAGGTACCGATAGGGAAAGAGGTATATTGAATGAAGATGAATTTTCGGCGATAAATAAGCAGCTGTTAGTTAATGATGATCACGTGATACCCCGATCTCGATTATTTGACCTTCCATTTGTTAGTCGACTGCAAAATAGCTGTAAGCCTCTTCGTCACGTGCCATTTTTACAACCATATATAGATTCGTATGATGTGACTGTTAATGGATCAAAGCAATATGCGTAATTTGTATAACGAAGTCGACATTTAGTATAGAAAATCATATTAAGCTATCATTATTATAATAAAAAATGTCTGTTTTATGACAAAATTGCAATTTTCAATGCCCACGAAATCAGAAGGAACATTTGAATTTTGAAACACTTTATGTATGAAGAGCACAAATGAGCCGAAGACAAACAATACAATGAAAAAAAGACCGACAAAGCCATTATGGACTTATTTCCGGGTTTGTACTTGCATGAGCAACACGACGGGTGCCACATGAGGAGCACGATCTGCCTACCCTTCCGGAGCACCTGAGATTAGCCCGGTTTTTGGTGGGGTTTGTGTTGCTCAGTCTTTAGTTTTCTGTATTGTGTTTTGTGTACTGTTGTCTGTTTGTCCTTTTATTTTTTAGCCATGGCGTTGTCAGTTTATTTTCGACTTTGAGTTTGAATGTCCCTTTAGTATCCTTCACCTCGCTTTTATGTTCCTTAACACAGTATTTAAAATAATTAACAATAAAAGTACATCACACACATGCACACCATTGCATTAGAAAGTACCGCAATTTTTTTTTACATATATAGTAAACTATTTTCTCCTATTATTTTTTATATTATCGATTGCTTTATTTGATAATTTCATTTTAACTGCCACACAATCTTTTATTTCATCGTTTTAAGTATTTTAGAATTTGAGTTCACCGCATTTTATAAGCTAAACAGATGTAAACAAAACATAATAATATACCATAAAAAAATATTAACAAAAAAACGAAGTGAGCAGTAAATTCAAAAGAAGAAAATGGTGGGTTAAATCTGGTTTTATTGCTAGATAAACTTCTCACTTGTATGACAGTTGTTTATTGTTCTGTTATATGAATCAAATAAGGATGAGCCAACCAAACAGACATAATTGGTTAGTGTAACAATTATTGGGATCCAGCAGCCAAGAATGTGTAAACATACATCTCAGACATACAACACAAGTGACTCAAGCATTAAAAAAACAACGTATAAATAAATCTGACAAAGACGCCAACATAAGTTTTGTACTTGATAGTACATGCGGTATATTAAAACATAATGCCGTACTAGTTTACACGGGTTAAAATACCCGATCAAGTACAAATTAAGTAAAATATAAATACAAGGGTATACAAAATGAAAACGACACTTAAAACCTCTTGCGTCCGAATCACACCTCTGGATCCACCTGCGCTAGGAACGCCCAGAGCAAAAAACCTGATAGCGGGATGCATAAATACCGAGTCACGTCAAAAGTCTTACGACTAAAAGACCTGTTGGTGACCTTCTGCTGTTGTCTGTTCTATGGTCGGGTTGTTGTCTCTTTGACACATTCCCCATTTCTATTCTCAATTTTATAATAGCAAAAAGACAAACAAAGAGAGACTATAAAGTAAATAAAAAGAAACACAAGTTTGACTCATAGAATCTATAATTCAAGACCATCCTGTATTATTTGTGAAGTTGACACTGAATATTTATCTATTATAATTAGGTCTTGGTACTTTCCAATGAACGTTTATTCTTCCCAGCACTACGCGTATACAACGGCTGGACATATATGAAGTGTTCGTAACATTGGAATTAAGAATGTTTACCATTTGTTCCCTATTGACACATCATCACAGCTAATGAAGACTTTTCCTTACGATCATTTAACTAAAAGTAGGAAATTTAATCATCCTGTGAGGTTCAACATAGTTTTGCGCCATTTTATTTAGTGATTTGCATTACAGGATTTTGTAATTATCTGTTGTACCATAATTAAAAGGTGCAAAGTGATCTGAAAGTAGTAAAGTCATTGTTTCAACTTTGGATTCAATGCGTCGATATTAGTATATATAATTGATCTTTGGGTTACACTAACGTCCCATTTGCGATTGGACGTGGCTGCGTATTTGTATATCCCCGAAAGCAAAACGAACACGACTTCTTTAGCATTGATTCGTTGGATTTAAAATAATTTTATATGATCGCATTTCTTTTCGCCAGTCAATACTCGGGGTAACAAGAAGACACGAAAACAAATGAACGTTTAACTATTAGAAGTATGTAGCCATTAAATTTGTTAAAACTGTGTTAATAGTTAGAATACGGGAAGTGTCGTGTGATATGTTACTTGGTTACAATAAAAACCGTTGTATCCATAGACGGGTGTCACATGTGGAGCAGGATCTGCTTACCCTTCCGTAGCACTTAGAGATCACCCCGAGTTTTTGGTGGGGTTCGTGTTGCTCAATCTTTTGTTTTCTATGTTGTGTTTTGTGTACTGTTGTTTGTCTGTTGGTCTTTTTCTTTTTAGCCATGGCGTTGTCAGTTTATTTTCGAGTTATGAGTTTGAATGTCCCTTCGGTATCTTTCGCCTCTCCTTAATTTGTTAACTTTATTCATTTGATTTCACTTTCATATTTACACAATTTAATTATTGCAAGCAAAATGATACTGATGATATTTCTTTTTTTACTATATCATTACTTTTCTAGATTTACATGAAAGAAAAATGGTGACAATAGTAACAAAAAATTAAGTAATAGAAACAATGCCACAGTTTCTACTATTTATCATGTTTAATCTAGAATGAACTCAATATGTTTTTCAGAACACGCTGCAATGGATCTTTCCTGTCCACAGCCTCATTACTTAACAGTTGGCTTTCTTTTCTGTCTACAACCTCAGCAGCCTCAATATCTTTAACAGTTGACTTTCTTTCCTGCCGACACAACCTGGACTAGTATGAGCTAATTTGCTGACCTGATAAATATTCATGTCCTAATGTTTGATTTGTTTCCTCCGCTTGCAACGTAAAGATCGATTGTTTTCCCGGTTGTTTTTCTTATGTTGAATTTGTCAACCATACGTTGCTTTTGGCTGAAGTTTCTAATTTGTTTTCTTCTGATGCAATGCAATGCAATAACATTGCAATTTAATCTAGAATGAGCTCAATATGTTTTTATCACATCACGCTTCAATAGATCGTTCCTGTCTGCTTTCTCAGCAGCCTCAATATCTTCAACAGTTGCTTTTGTCCTACTGACACAACCTGGAAAGTTATGCAATATAATGGTCGATGTTTTTCCCCTGATGTTTTTTATTATGATGAATTGATCAACCCTACGTTGATTTTGACGCTTGTTTTTCTTTGTTTGAATCTTTGATTGTATAGACATTATCGTTATTTCGTTCATTCCGAAAAAAAAACCAGTCATTTAGACAACTTCCTATTTGGTTCAAATGTCGCAAAACAAAGGTCATCAGTAATTTTAAAAGTTTGGAAAGTGAACATTGTAACATTTTGATAGTTTATGAAGCAATTTTTAAAAGACAAATTAAAGTCATTAAAAATGCTTTGTTTGGTGTGTTTACGATGGTTTAAACATGTCTCTATGAAAAGTTTTATGCACCATATATTGTTTGAACAAGGACTCAGATAGCTTCAACTGGTTTGAAAACGTTGTGTAATATTAGAACTTATCCAGAATTGCATAAATAGCGATAAATGTATAAAGACCATCCCAAATTTACATCATATGCATTTGTTATTGTAAACAGCATTGAATAGGCATTCAGAGTACTTTCAAGTTCAGCTTTACGGACTTTCTTTGCAGACTGGTGATATTCTCATGAAAGAATAAATAAGGGAAACTGAAAAACCCGGTCTGACATAAACAATATGTGTAAAAAAAGATGATTCTATAACATTTGATTTGTATCATATGATTTTGGATTAAGCTTATAATTATTTGTCAAAAAAACTCATAAAGTGAACGAGACAAATCTCTTGTGATTTACTATCACTAGAGTATAAAGTACAATTGCTGATATTAATTCAGTAAATCAAAAGAATGTCTGTAGTCAAAGTATTTTGACCTCTAAAAAACATTTTGAACTCTAACAAAGAAGGCTCAAAGGTAAATACAAGTTTTGTTAAGTCATTCTATAATAAAAAAAAATTAAGGTTTTTGTTTTAACTATGATTTTTATTGGAAAGTAAGTATTTCTTCAAAAATCTCAAAATTTTGGAGATTGTTGAGAATGTTTAATCCTTGTATTGTGTAGATAATTATCAATATAAATTACTGCATTATCCCCATCCTTCTCATCATTATGCAAGTTCTCAGTTTCCCAGTCTACAAATACTTTCAATTCAACTGTTTTCTCAAGGTTGTCAAGTTCATTCCATGGTTATATTTTACACGAAATACTTAACAAAATCTTGAAATAAACACAACACAAACACATCTTACGAGAAAGTTGCCTATTCAGAAGATACAAATTTTATAAACATACATGTATTAGTAAAAAGTAGAACTTAGAACATTCACATGCAAAACAAAATGAAAGTGAGTAGTGGGCGTCCGTTTGGCTGTGCTGGAAGTACAAGTACGCAACCACGCCAGGTAATAATGCGGACGTAAAATCCAATGATTCGTGAAGAAAGAGTTCCATGCTTTCTGCACTATAAAAACCCTTACAAAAACTCTTTGAGGTGTCCGTAGGTGGCCTGTTGCAAGGCAACATTCTGCCCTTATCCAATATACCCTAATTTTCCCAGACGGCCCCTATTACAGGACCTACCTATTGTATTTATTGTTAATTGATTCTGGTACTGAATATGCATGACAAATTTGCCACTAGATGAAAAGCAACCGATTACATCTACCCAATATCCATTTTGTACCCCACAAGGGTGACTGGGAAATGGAAATATGGTCACTAAGGTTTTCTTCCGACTGGCAGTAAAACCCTTGTTAAAGTGGGGCGTCCGTTTGGCTGTGCGGGATGTACAAGTACGCAGGCACGTGCGGCAGAAAGGGACGTTAACTCCGATGTCTCGTGCAAAGCCTTGTAACAACTACTTGAGATGCTTGTCGGTGACTTGTTGCAAGGAAAAATTTCAGTCCCTATCATAATTACCATCATTTTCCCGTGGCAGTCCAAATTTCACCAACCTTCTTCCCGGACGGCCCCTATTACGGGACCTACCTTTTGTATTTATTGTCAATTTGAA